AGTTCTGTTCTAGTTCTGTTCTAGTTCTGCTCTAGTTCTGTTCTAGTTCTGTTCTAGTTCTGTTCTAGTTCTGTTCTAGTTCAGTCCTAGTTCTGTTCTAGTTCTGTTCTAGTTCTGTTCTAATTCTGTTCTAGTTCTGTTCTAGTTCTGTTCTAGTTCTGTTCTAGTTCTGCTCTAGTTCTGTTCTAGTTCTGTTCTAGTTCTGTTCTAGTTCAGTTCTAGTTCAGTTCTAGTTCAGTTCTAGTTCAGTTCTAGTTCTAGTTCTAGTTCTAGTTCTGTTCTAGTTCTGTTCTAGTTCTGTTCTAGTTCTGTTCTAGTTCTGTTCTAGTTCTGTTCTAGTTCTGTTCTAGTTCTGTTCTAGTTCTGTTCTAGTTCTGCTATAGTTCTGTTCTAGTTCTGTTCTAGTTCTGTTCTAGTTCTGTTCTAGTTCTGTTCTAGTTCTGTTCTAGTTCAGTCCTAGTTCTGTTCTAGTTCAGTTCTAGTTCAGTTCTAGTTCAGTTCTAGTTCAGTTCTAGTTCAATTCTAGTTCAGTTCTAGTTTAGTTCTAGTTCAGTTCTAGTTCAGTTCTAGTTCAGTTCTAGTTCAGTTCTAGTTCAGTTCTAGTTCAGTTCTAGTTCAGTTCTAGTTCAGTTCTAGTTCAGTTCTAGTTCAGTTCTAGTTCAGTTCTAGTTCAGTTCTAGTTCAGTTCTAGTTCAGTTCTAGTTCAGTTCTAGTTCAGTTCTAGTTCAGTTCTAGTTCAGTTCTAGTTCAGTTCTAGTTCAGTTCTAGTTCAGTTCTAGTTCAGTTCTAGTTCAGTTCTAGTTCAGTTCTAGTTCAGTTCTAGTTCAGTTCTAGTTCAGTTCTAGTTCAGTTCTAGTTCAGTTCTAGTTCAGTTCTAGTTCAGTTCTAGTTCAGTTCTAGTTCAGTTCTAGTTCAGTTCTAGTTCAGTTCTAGTTCAGTTCTAGTTCAGTTCTAGTTCAGTTCTAGTTCAGTTCTAGTTCAGTTCTAGTTCAGTTCTAGTTCAGTTCTAGTTCAGTTCTAGTTCAGTTCTAGTTCAGTTCTAGTTCAGTTCTAGTTCAAGTTCAGTTCTAGTTCAGTTTCTTTGTCGTTCTAGTTCCTGCTAGTTCTACAATTTATTCTTTTAAACGACAAGTCGCAGCTCCTCCACTAAAACTAAGATTATCAATTGAAATAATTTGTGAAGACCAGCAAGAGGAAAATACATTGTTTAAGAAAAAGAGAAGAAACCAGAGTGACTAAAAGCTGATTGCTAACCCAGATATGTATTGTCATTTGTTTAAGAAGTTACATATTTCAATTTGGCCTGGTATTTGAGCTTGATCTTTTATTTATTTGTGATTTTGTGTTTTATTTAAAACTTTTTTTTTGCAACATTTCAGATTTATTATTTGGCATGTTTGAAATGGCAAAGTTGCAGCAACAAAACACGTGTGTCTTATAAATGTTTTTTCCCCAAACAAGATGTTCATAAAAAATTATATGAGATTTTAAGCAGTTCATCATTGAACTGTGGTTGAGGAAAAAAACAAGACTTACTGTTCTCGATTGTAATCTTGAAATGAAATAAAAGGCTCTTTATTTATTTTTTTTCCTTGGCAATGGCTCCTTATTTTGGAGGCTCATAAATTTAGAAAACCCACAAAACAAAAAAAAGCCAAACAAAATTTGCGTATACGCAAATTTTGAAAATGAACTGTTGTTTTTGTTAAGAATTCCCAGCTTTCATTTTATGCTTGAGAAATTGCTTTAGTTGGTCAGGTCGTATTTCGCAAAAAAGAAAAAAAATCCAAAACTAACATGAAATGAACTGAAATTAAAAGAAATCAAATGAAATGTATAAATAAAAAAAGAGATTTTGAATGACTGCCCTCTTAATGGTTTATACTGGAACAAGAGATGCGACTTTAAAGATTACTCTACTGAGTGAGCTTAATAATTTAAAGGTAGAAAACCCAGCATTTGCCTAAATAAATCAGATGCAAATAAATATCATTCCTTTAGCTGTGGCATCATTATTATCAAGATGAATTTGAAAAATGAAAACAGTAAGTTTTTGAATATCTTTTTATTTTCTTCGCTTTCGTTGTTTAAGGCTGTAAAATAATAAATTGAATTAAAAGCATAAAAATTCAATTCAGTTTTTATACAAATTGTCTCAGTAAATAAATAAATATTTCTTTTGTTTTGTGTTCTCTTTTTCCTTAAATTATGATTTTTTGTTTCGCACAAAGATACATTCATTTTATTTCTTATCAGTTTAATAAATTGATTTTAAAATTTGCCTGCCAGTTAAATTAATTTATAAAAATAAAAAGTCAATGTAAATCATTTTTTTTTTAAGAAATTAATTTAAATTTACATTCCACAGAAGAGAAGACGGTAATTAAATATTTATTTGATTAATTCAATTAAAGTTTTATTGGTGATGATCGATTTTGATAAAAGTATTTAAGAATAATGTTTTTCAGGCTATAGATAGCACGAAAGGTTTAAGAGTTTCTTTTTTCATTATTTTAAGTCAATGACTAGACAATAGTTCAGTCTATATTCTAGTCTATAGTATAGTCTATAGTCTGGTATATAGTTTTGTGTATATTCTAATCCATAGTCTAGTCTATAGTGGAGTCTATATTTTAGTCTTTAGTCGAATCTATAGTAGAGTCTATATTCTATTCTATAGTAGAGTCTATAGACTAGTTTATAGTCGACTTTTTAATCGAATCTATAGTCGAGTCTATAGTCGACTCCTATAGTCGAGTCGATAGTTGAGTATATAGTTGGAGTCCTATAGTTGAGTCTATAGGTCATAGTCTATAGTCTAGTCTAGTCTAGTCTATAGTCCTAGTCCTATCAGTCTCGTCTAGTCTATAGTCCTAGTCTAGTCTAGTCTCGTCTATAGTCTAGTCTATCTATAGTCTAGTCTAGTCTAGTCTAGTCCTAGTCTAATAGTCTAGTCTATCGTCTAGTCTAGTCTAGTCTAGTCTAGTCGATAGTCTAGTCTATAGTCTAGTCCTAATAGTCTAGTCTATAGTCTGTCTATAGTCTAGTCTATAGTCTAGTCCCTATAGTCTAGTCTATAGTCTAGTCCGATAGTCTAGTCTATAGTCTAAAGTCTTAGTCTATCTATAGGTCTAGTCTATAGTCTAGTCTATAGTCTAGTCTATAGTCGTAGTCTATAGCTCTAGTCTATAGATCCTAGTCTATAGTCTAGTTCTATAGTCTAGTCTATAGTCTAGTCTATAGTCTAGTCTATAGTCTAGTCTATACCTAGTCTAGATCTATAGTCTAGTCTATAGTCTAGTCTATAGTCTAGTCTATAGTCTAGTCTATAGTCTAGTCTATAGTCTAGTCTATAGTCTAGTCTATAGTCTAGTCTATAGTCTAGTCTATAGTCTAGTCTATAGTCTAGTCTATAGTCTAGTCTATAGTCTAGTCTATAGTCTAGTCTATAGTCTAGTCTATAGTCTAGTCTATAGTCTAGTCTATAGTCTAGTCTATAGTCTAGTCTATAGTCTAGTCTATAGTCTAGTCTATAGTCTAGTCTATAGTCTAGTCTATAGTCTAGTCTATAGTCTAGTCTATAGTCTAGTCTATAGTCTAGTCATAGTCTAGTCTATAGTCTAGTCTATAGTCTAGTCTATAGTCTAGTCTATAGTCTAGTCTATAGTCTAGTCTATAGTCTAGTCTATAGTCTAGTCTATAGTCTAGTCTATAGTCTAGTCTATAGTCTAGTCTATAGTCTAGTCTATAGTCTAGTCTATAGTCTAGTCTATAGTCTAGTCTATAGTCTAGTCTATAGTCTAGTCTATAGTCTAGTCTATAGTCTAGTCTATAGTCTAGTCTATAGTCTAGTCTATAGTCTAGTCTATAGTCTAGTCTATAGTCTAGTCTATAGTCTGTCTATAGTCTAGTCTATAGTCTAGTCTATAGTCTAGTCTATAGTCTAGTCTATAGTCTAGTCTATAGTCTAGTCTATAGTCTAGTCTATAGTCTAGTCTATAGTCTAGTCTATAGTCTAGTCTATAGTCTAGTCTATAGTCTAGTCTATAGTCTAGTCTATAGTCTAGTCTATAGTCTAGTCTATAGTCTAGTCTATAGTCTAGTCTAGTCTAGTCTATAGTCCAGTCTATAGTCTAGTCTATAGTCTAGTCTATAGTCTAGTCTATAGTCTAGTCTATAGTCTAGTCTATAGTCTATCTCTATAGTCTAGTCTATACTCTAGGCTATAGTCCAGTCTATAGTCTAGGCTATAGTCTAGTCTATAGTCTAGTCTATAGTCTAGTCTATAGTCTAGTCTATAGTCTAGTCTATAGTCTAGTCTAGTCTATAGTCTAGTCTATAGTCTAGTCTATAGTCTAGTATATATTATATTCTGTAGTATAGTCAATAGTCTAGTCTATAACCTATTCTATAGTCTAGTCTATAGTGTAGTCCGTAGTCTGCTCTATAGTCCATAGTCTACTCTATAGTCTAGTCTATAATCTAATTTATATTCAAGTATATAGTCGAGTCTATAGTCTAGTCTACAGTCTAGTTTATAGTCGAGTCTATAATGTTTTAAATTTTTCGTTAATATACCCTCGCGACCTTTGTTGTCTCTAAATGCCGACCACTGCTTTCTATAGAGTAATAAATTATTTAAAATCGGTATTTGTTCCGCTTCAATTAAAAGCTACAAATAACTTTTAAAATATCTCTAGTTTATGATTATTACTATTACCACAATCTTAATTGTGTTGTTAAAAAATATGATAATTTTTTGTTATTTTTTCCTAATAAAACTTCATTTTCATTTATACAAACATTTAATAAAAACAAACTTGTAATAACAGATAGACAAACGAATGGTCAAAGTAAGATATATATTATTATTTAAAAAATACTATTGTAATGATTTATTATTGTTTAACTCAACCATAGAAAATTATTTTAATTGATTGTTTTTTTTTTCTTTTGTTCTTTGCAGGCATATTAAAACATTAAACAGAAAAAAACTGTATATAACTTTATGGTCAATAAAAAATTAAGGTATGTTGTGAAAGGTTACGTGTTTAAGAATATGTATAAAATTAAGAAAAGATATTTTAAAAATATGTGGATTTAACACGAGTAAATTACTATAAGGTCTTGACTCTAGTATGTGTTTATAATATGAATTTTTATTAAATATTTTACATAATAATAGTTTTTTTAATAAAGGCAAATTAAGCGTATTAATCTTTAATGGGCTATTCTTTTAAATAATAGCTTTTAATAGAATTCTCAATGGCTATTTAAACAAAAAAAATAGATTTGTTTTATAACCCATTAACACCGCTACAAGTTTTGTAAGTATCTAGGTAAACCAATATTGTCTAACACATAGTCTATAGTCTAGACTATTGTATAGTCCAGCCAATAGTCTATTGTAAAACCTAGTTTATAATCTAGTCTCTAGTTTAGTATATAGTTTAGTGTATAGTCTAGTGTATAGTCTAGTTCATAGTCTAGACTAGTATATAAACTAGTCTATGGTCTAGAGTACAGTCCAGTCTATAGTATAATCTACAGTATAGTTTATAGTCTGTCTATAGTCCAGTCTATAGTTTATTATATAGTCTAGTCTGTAAGTTAGTCTATAGTCTAGTCTATAATATATTCTAGTTTATACTCCAGTCTAGTCTGTAATATATTCTAGTCTATGATCTAGTCTATAGACGAGTTTGCAGTCGTGTCTATAATCTAGTCTATAGTCTATTCTAAAGTCTAGTATATAGTCTAGTCTATCGTCTATTCTATAATCCATGTTATAGTTCAGTTCTAATTCGGTTCTAGTTTAGTTTTAGTTCAATTCTAGTTCAGTTCTAGTTTAGTTCTAGTCAGTCTAGTTCAGTTCTAGTTCAGTCTAGTTCAGTTCTAGTTCAGTTCTAGTTCAGTTCTAGTTCAGTTCTAGTTCAGTTCTAGTTCAGTTCTAGTTCAGTTCTAGTTCAGTTCTAGTTCAGTTCTAGTTCAGTTCTAGTTCAGTTCTAGTTCAGTTCTAGTTCAGTTCTAGTTCAGTTCTAGTTCAGTTCTAGTTCAGTTCTAGTTCAGTTCTAGTTCAGTTCTAGTTCAGTTCTAGTTCAGTTCTAGTTCAGTTCTAGTTCAGTTCTAGTTCAGTCTAGTTCAGTCTAGTCAGTTCTAGTTCAGTTAGTTCAGTTCTAGTTCAGTTCTAGTTCAGTTCTAGTTCAGTTCTAGTCAGTTCTAGTCAGTTCTAGTTCAGTTCTAGTCAGTTCTAGTTCAGTTCTAGTTCAGTTCTAGTTCAGTTCTAGTTCAGTTCTAGTTCAGTTCTAGTTCAGTTCTAGTTCAGTTCTAGTTCAGTTCTAGTTCTAGTTCAGTTCTAGTTCAGTTCTAGTTCAGTTCTAGTTCAGTTCTAGTTCAGTTCTAGTTCAGTTCTAGTTCAGTGCTAGTTCAGTTCTAGTTCAGTTTTAGTTCAGTTCTAGTTCAGTTCTAGTTCAGTTCTAGTTCAGTTCTAGTTCAGTTCTAGTTCAGTTCTAGTTCAGTTCTAGTTCAGTTCTAGTTCAGTTCTAGTTCAGTTCTAGTTCAGTTCTAGTTCAGTTCTAGTTCAGTTCTAGTTCAGTTCTAGTTCAGTTCTAGTTCAGTTCTAGTTCAGTTCTAGTTCAGTTCTAGTTCAGTTCTAGTTCAGTTCTAGTTCAGTTCTAGTTCAGTTCTAGTTCAGTTCAAGTTCAGTTCTAGTTCAGTTCTAGTTCAGTTCTAGTTCAGTTCTAGTTCCGTTCTAGTTCAGCTCTAGTTCAGTTCTAGTTCAGTTCAGTTCTAGTTCTGTTCTAGTTCAGTTCTAGTTCAGTTCTAGTTCAGTTCTAGTTCAGTTCTAGTTCAGTTCTAGTTCAGTTCTAGTTCAGTTCTAGTTCAGTTCTAGTTCAGTTCTAGTTCAGTTCTAGTTCAGTTCTAGTTCAGTTCTAGTTCAGTTCTAGTTCAGTTCTAGTCAGTTCTAGTTCAGTTCTAGTTCAGTTCTAGTTCAGTTCTAGTTCAGTTCTAGTTCAGTTCTAGTTCAGTTCTAGTTCAGTTCTAGTTCAGTTCTAGTTCAGTTCTAGTTCAGTTCTAGTTCAGTTCTAGTTCAGTTCTAGTTCAGTTCTAGTTCAGTTCTAGTTCAGTTCTAGTTCAGTTCTAGTTCAGTTCTAGTTCAGTTCTAGTTCAGTTCTAGTTCAGTTCTAGTTCAGTTCTAGTTCAGTTCTAGTTCAGTTCTAGTTCAGTTCTAGTTCAGTTCTAGTTCAGTTCTAGTTCAGTTCTAGTTCAGTTCTAGTTCAGTTCTAGTTCAGTTCTAGTTCAGTTCTAGTTCAGTTCTAGTTCAGTTCTAGTTCAGTTCTAGTTCAGTTCTAGTTCAGTTAGTTCAGTCTAGTTCAGTTCTAGTTCAGTTCTAGTTCAGTTCTAGTCATTCTAGTTCAGTTCTAGTTCAGTTCTAGTTCAGTTCTAGTTCAGTTCTAGTTCAGTTCGAGTTCAGTTATAGTTCTATTCTATTCTGTTATGTAATATAGTCACTTATCTGATTACTCAATTTGCTCTGTTGGTTGTGACACACTCTTCGGAATTCTGAAAATGACCGAATGTCTGAATGCTTTTATCCCCACTCTGAAATTATTAATAACAGAAATAATAACTGGGTATATGAAATAGTAATTTTGTATAAATTTCCCCCTCCAAACATTATGTAACTTTAATAACTCCTTGCTAACCTTGACGAATGTTTATTACCTCCTTATCCTTTACAAAATTACTAATATTATTAAGTTTATTAATTTTGTTTTGTCTGTGTCGCATCCGTTTTGATAGCTTTCCCTCTGCAAACTAATTAAATTACAAGGGAAATTGTTTAGTGAACATTTGCAAACAGCGCGAAACCAAAATTAAATTAAACACAAGAATTTTGAACAGTTTGTAATGTGAAGTTTGCCGCAGGAAGCATAGTGTTAGAAAAAAATTGGCAACATCTGTTGCAAACGAAAAAAAACAACCACTTATTGTTTTCCAGTTTTGACAACCATGATGTGCAATTTGACAGGCTTAGTTTTGAACAGTGGTAGTGGTGGTGGCGTTTAATTAATAAAGAATAGGCCTTAATTTAATAAAAGAATATTTGCTTTTAATGTTAAACTATTGTTTTGCATTGGATAGGGTATTCTTAACCTTTATCACTTGGAGAATTTTACACGGTTTGTTAACAAAATTGACAATGTAGAGAAATATTTTTGAAAGTTCTTGGGGAAAAGGTGTGATTCTTAGAAATTTGATGTGTAACTTTTAATATTTATTAGAAATCACTAAGATTAGTTATGAATCTTCTTCTCTGAGTCATAAAATTTTCCAAGTTTTTAACTTAGTGTGACCCTAAAGTAACTAATTGGTCAAGACTTGTAGTGTCAGCCTACAAAAAAACACATGTTATGTCTTTCTTTCCATTTGTTCGCAATTTTTACACGACTCAATGAAAGTGGGTTGATGTTTTTTTCATTTTGACAATTCAATGATTTCCAATGAGTTATATTCTGTCCATTGCGTCTCTATAATTTGTTAACTGAAATTAAAAACCTTTAACAGAAATTAAACAGAATTCACAATTTAAAACAATGTTGTTTGTTGGTTTTTAGTGAATGTGGGTTTTTTTTTTTGCTGTTAAACATATTTTTGTTGATAGTGACAGAAAACTCCTTAAAAACAAAAAGAAGAAAAATTTCAAAAAAAAAAAAAAAAAAAACACACACCCAGTTTTGTCGTTTATATATGTATTTCTGTTGTTTCTGTTTTTTTGCTTAAAATGTCTAATATTACACGGTGTCAACGCATGATTAATTGTTACAAAATCAAGTGACACTTTAACTACATTTAAAGCCATAAAAACAATTTTGTTGTTGTGTAAGTCCGTCCGTCCGTCCGTCCGTTCGTCTGTTAGACTCAAACAGTAAAACCAGCTTAAAAGCTTTATAACTTCAACCAACATTTGCCATCTATGGTTAAATAAATAAAGAAGGCAAAAATACCAAAAAAATATACAATATTCTTAAATAAACAAAAATTATGTGGAAAAAAAATTATGAATTTTAATGAATGAGTCTTAAATACAAACGTTTATTTAATAAAATTAATCGTTTTTACTGAGCTGAGAGGTTGTTGCAATAAAGATAATATTAACATTTATATCGAGAAAAACAATTTTACTAAATTATGCTTATTTATAGAAAAAACAAATGAAATATTTTGCAAGATTTAAATGTTAAATTTATTGTTTTTTTTAGTTTTTTTTTTTTACAAAAATTGCTAAAGTCTTTGTTAATTAAAAAATATATATAAAAGGACTAGTTACATAAATTTTGTATTTAATAAAAAAAAAATCAAATGTTTAAAATAAAATTTTAATTTAAAACTTCAATTAAAACATTAGCAATTAGTCAAACATAAAAATATAAACTTTAAAAAAGTTGTTTTTGTTAAGGTATTAAAAAACTTTATAAAAGCTTTTTTGAAAAATAAAATTTTGTAAAATTAGTTGGTACATGTTTTTTGTCACAAAGCTTTTTTCATTATAAATGCTTTTTGATTTTTTTTTGGTAAAAACGTTTTAAAAGCTTTTGTTAAGAAATATTTTTAAATTAAAATTTGTAAGTGTTTTTGAATAGATTTGGAGTGCTTTTGGAAAAGGATTTTTATTAAAACAAAAAATCGTTTGTCCTTTTTGGACAAAACTTTAGATACTTTTTAATAGCTTTTTAAACTTTGAAAGCTTTTTTACAGAAAGGTTTTTTAAGTGAAAAGCCAATGATTTTTAGAATGAAACTTATGGAAAGCTAATTATTTATGAGAAAAGGTTTTTTTTGGATAAAATTACTCTTATAAAATATAAATTGGTGAAAGCTTATAACGAGAATATTTTGTTATTGTTTTTTTATAAAAAAGCTTTTAAATGGATTGATGGTTTTTGTATATTCTTATGAATAAATTTTTAAAAAACTTTTTAGGGGACAGCTGTCAATAATTTAGAGAATGACGTTAATAGTTAAAAA